TTTTTTTTTTTCTAGATTTTTACTTACATTTTACACGCAGCGGTAGTTGGTTGCTGACAGTTTCACCCTCGTCGTTGATGGCGCTGCAAGCATAATTTCCTGCATAGTGTTTGGTGATTTTCTGCAGTACCAAACTCTGATTGGAGCGTATGACGCGAGCGGAAGTGTTRTGCTCGAGGTGAATGTTCTGCAAAAAGTTGAAAGAAAAAATAAATTGAAATATAAGTTAAATGTATGCCTTTGTATATGTAGAATGTCACCAATATATAATATGTAATTTATAAATATGTTTGAGTTATGTTATATAAAGGTATTTAAATATAAATGACAACTTTATACTCCTGAAATTTTCATTTCCACCCTCTTATTAAAAAACATTAAAGAGGTTGATTTAGTTAAACAATCTTAGCTCCTCCATCAGGTTTATTTTGGATCATTATTGGGTGAAATCGGTTGATCTTGCCGCTATTAGGGTGTAGCACTTCGTTTTATGATAACATCCTCTAACGAAAAATTCAAAAATCTTGCAGTCAAATAGGGAAGGCAAATGCAAAGAAAAGATTTGTGTTACTCGGGAATTCTTTGCTACAGAATATATGTTTGCTATGTTGGGGATAAATTTTKGATCTAATTTCGTGTAGTGATACTCCAATTTCATGAGGCAACTTGAGCCCATTTCGACAGCTAATGGGTGGTTTGACTTTTGAAATGCCATTTGTAGCGAGAGAGCTAAGAAAATGCTGATTGATATTGATAGGTGTCGGATGTCGAAGTTGTGTGATGATCTTAAGATACGGTTCCGTTTCAATATTAAGTGGCTATACCAGTGTGACGCTTTCAAACAAAGTTTTTTTTTTTTATTGGCTTTCTCTATAGCTTATATTTCCGTACATATCCTATGAAATCGGTAAGATCATATCTTAAATAGTTTTTAAATGGCAGTGTTCTAAAGAGTGACCGCTCGGAGGTGCAAACATATATAAGTGAAACTTTAAACGCTCCTTTTGTTAATTTTTAATATTTTATCGTTGGTTTTTGTATAGGAAATATCTTTAATAAAAAAAAATCTTTTCAAATTTTTTTGTTTCAGCTACTCATTCGGCCGGAATCATGCCAGCACCGGCACTTCCGAAGACAGCCCCTAACGCCGTTATATTTCAACATTTCTGTAATATAATATCTGAAAATATAGCTGAAAATATACTTTATTACGTTCAAAGAAGTTCGAAATATTCAATCGCGTACCATCTCTCGAAAAAATTCACGAAAATCGCCAAATTTTTCATGCGTCGCACTGGTATAGCTATTTAAAATTGATATCGCTGTATTATAATGGGATGTCTCGACTCATTATCTCTAACGTCGAGATACTTAATGATTGGAATGTTTTAGGTATTTGAACACTGCGGATTTACATGAAAGGGTATTCGGACCCAGTCTTAGAACTGCGGTGAGTCATAGACTAGTCTTAGTTCTCTGCGTACCAGAGTACTGTTAGTCTTRGGAAGTAGGCATCCGAATTTCAACAGCCTTATGGCCCCACTAACGATACTTCTTCTAGTATCTCATACCGTCAGTTCCCCAAATGTTTGCAGCATTGTCTTGCGGGACAACTTAATGCTTAAGAGTGATTCATTGTTTTTTGGTACCTTGCTATTATCTCGATCAGAACTTTATGTTGTTTGATCTACCGTTTTGCTGTGAATTTTACAGTGTTACACCCAGGGAAATCGTCTAATCGCACTTTGATCATCGTAAAGACAATGTAAGAGTTTACCAATRTTGATTACGTTTTTGGCTGACAGCCGTACTTCACTTTTGACAATCTTGTTCGCTATCGACATTGCTGCCTTTATGAACTTTACTCTGCAACTTTTCCAATTGCTTSAAATACTGCAGTTCTCCCGCGGATTAAAAGCTACATTAGTGACAGTAGATCACACCACTAATTTCGTAAAAATAAATAATAAATATATATTTCTTTAGATATTAACAACCAATTCTATATTGATATAGATATATTAAATATGAATACCATTCGTATTGATGATTAATGATGATGAACAATTAGCAAAACACACTGCAGAAATAAAATATGTCCCCCATCTTAAGTACAGCGCAGTCAAGTTAGGCAGAACCAAGGTATATGAGCCTACTAACTATAAAAAAGCAAAGTTTAAGGCTCTCAAATTTTKAAATATTGACACTTTATTGTCAAAAGGGCTTCATTAAGACTCTAACTCTAAGAAAACAACGTAATACCTTTTTAATTTCCTTTGTCTTAAAGTTCTGGCCTGCKTTTGGCACAATGCGGCTGGTAAAAATTTGGCTTAATTTTTAAAGCTCAACTTCATATATTTCTACTGAAAGWAAGTCAATTAACTTCTACACACATAAACCACATATGTAAATAGATTGAAAACAGCAATGAAAAAACTCCCTTGTAACACATACAAACACACATTCGTATGCTCCACAKTAGTTTAACCACATGGTTGCGTTAGCTATTTGTCTGTGTCTACGGGAAATTTTCATTTACTAAAAGTGCTTTTCGTGGCGAAATATTTGCGGAAATTCCCGATGGTTTGAGGCTATTCCCGATTGCTGCAAACTTAAATCCGGCGACACAGCCACACATAAGTAAATACCTATATCTGTGTATGTGTGTATTAGTGCCTCTGGTATACTTGGTGAGTTACAGAAAACCCATAGCGTACGCAGTCTATGAAAGCAGTGCAAAGCTAGTGATCACACACACCCTGCGGTGCTTTCAGTTTTGCCTTAACACCATTCCATCAATTCAGTGCTAAAATCCGGTTTGACTGAGCTCTGCTCAGTGCATTAAATATACTAAATGTACCGGCTCTTAGCTRCTGTCCCACATCCGGAAATATGTACATAAGTATACAGGTAARCTTACATATGTACACATATAGATACTATTTCAAATTACTATTTCAACAGCTGTAGATAAATTTACGTATATGTATAYAGTTACCGCACTCATACAAATTACTTACATTATGCAACCACAAGAGCTTCCGCCATTGAGGATTCGATTGTACGTGACACTCAAAATATACGTCGTCTCCTTCTTTAATATCATCAGGTGTGAGGGTGGAACCAAGTCGCAGCGTTACCAATGGTGGATCTGTATAGATGAAAKGCAAAGGATTTTAAGTTAGAATAAGAAATATTTAAACTATTAAAATGATGGTGAAGGATAAGCAAACAGTGTATAATTATGAAAAGATGATTAACACTTGGCACTGCTCACGTCAAGTTCCTAAATTAGAAGCGTACAAAATACMGTTTGTGCAAGAACTTAAGACGCGCTACCTTTCCAAATGACATCGCTTCGCTCTCAGGGCTCTTGAAAAATTCCAAAAAGATCCGACGTTTTCGAGCCAAATATTGTTTAGCGCTGAGGCTCAGTTCTGAATCAATGAACATGTAAGCAAGCAAAATTGCCGCATTTTGGACAAAGAGCAACTTGAAAAGATTCAAGAGCTGTCATTACRTGCAGAAAAATAACTGTTTGGTGTGTGGTAACCGTCGATTGCAATCGTTATCGTCCCATGATAATCCACTACTTGATGCCTGAAAATGAAGCTCGTGACCTCGGCGACATTTGGTTTCAATAAGACGGCGCCACTTCTCATACATCGCATCCAGCAATGGATTTATTGAAAGAACACTTCGATGAGCAGAAAATTTCACTATTTGAGCCGGTCTATTGGCCACTAAAATAGTGTGATATCACACCGTTGGCCTTTTTCCTGTGAGGATTTGTAAAGTATAAAGTCTATGCAGTAATTTCCGCCTCGATTCAGGCCTTGGAGCAAAACAACACGCATGTCGTTCGGCAGTTACCCGTCGAAATGCCCGAACGAGGTAATCTTCAAAAAAAAAAAATTCCAAATAATGATCTTTAGGATGCTAATATATATTATCCACTAAAATTGAAGTTTCTTTGCTTTTTCTTTAAAAAATTAAGGAACCTCCATATGGGTCATACTTTAAATGTATATTTTTAATTTTTATGAGTGATAAGAAGCGAGTAGAGAAATGTTGAATCGAAGAGTGCTATTATGCTTGTTAGTTAACTTTTTGATTACAAGCGACCATTGGTTTAACAGTATGGAACTGACATGACATAAAAAACACTTTTTGATGCAAAAATTTCTATATACTTACATACGACATTCAACTTCCACATTGTCTCCAAATAAAGGCCGTTCACATTTGGATTTTCAGCGCGACAAGTTATGGATTTGCCATCATCATCTGTGGTGGGCACAAAACTCAGCTCAGAGCGTGTAACATTCTTCGAGATGTCATCCTGAAAAAACAGAAACAAAAACATTATTTTACTTGGAATATCGGCAAAACCTTGGCGCATTGATTCCCTTATTTTTTTTTTTTTTTTTGTTTTTTGTTTTTGTTTGCAATGTTAGTATTTTTCTCAACAACTCAGTTAGACATGTTATTTAACGCCATTTGATTTATGCATTTCAACACGGTGGCAGCCAATTTATGTCCAACAGTGGTGAAAGTAAGTGGCACACCCACTGCATTTGCAATGCAACAGCCGACAGAAATATATTTATCACCCGCTGTACAGTTTAGCACACGAATATTTAGTTGTTTAGCAATGTAAGGAAATTTGTGCGCCACCTACTGGTAGTAGGTATATAGTAATATAGTATACCGTTATAATGCAGTACATATGTTGCAGCACTTGGCCTACCATYGGCTACAATACATTTTGTAGTGAAATTTTCATTTCCGCTTTTAAATTGCTTATTGCAAATTACATAGCAAGTGCGCTAATATTATCACACAAGTAACAAGCAATACATTTACGCGAAACCATTCATTTCAKCGGCCCCACCCAGCATATACTAGCCACACACTTGCCTATGTACATATGTATATAGATGGTTGTATAAATATGGATATGCGTGTGTGTGTGTGTGTTAAAGGGGCGCGTCCGTATTGGCCCTCATTCAATTGCCAGAGTTCTACACCGGCAACGTGGCAGCTAAAACAATGAAAGGTACACATTGCATGCTATTAATGGCACAATGAATGCAAAGTAGTTAAAGAAGGCCACGCCGCAGCAWGGCAGTTGGTGCCGCACACACTCGCACTTGTGTCAATAGATCGTGATGAGCTTAGTTGATCGAATGACGGCACACTGTGTAGAGAATATACATCGCGAGGTAAATTGAAGTTTGTAGTTTTCAAATTTTTTAGCAGATAAGTATTAACTAGTCTAAAAAGTATGAGTATAATAAGTCTCAACTAAATTTTTCTGTAAAAAAAAAAAAAAAATTCAAGAATTCTGTGATTTACGTGTTCCTTTAAGATTAACTATTTTCAGAAATCTTCGTAAAGTTTCTTAAAAAGATACGACAGAATTCAACATACCAGTAACTGTACATTGAATATGCTAGAGAAAGTATTCCATAACAAATACGAAGCCGGTGCTCTACAACAGTGATTATTTTCAATTAGTAAAGAAAGATTTGTGAAAACAAGAAATTCACTTTTTTCTCATTAAACTATGTATATCTATCGAAAAACGTAAGGGACTCCCCGAAATACAATAATGCTTTATGTACATTTTCGCTTATTTAATAAGCTTTTATAACGAATGGCAATARGCTACTCAGCATGGCAAGTTTCGGTTGGGCCCTCAGTGTATTCAGAGAATTTCGATTTTTTTTT